CAGGACCACGGTCTTCAGCCCACAGACAGCCTGTCACCCGCCCCAGAGGAAGAGCAAGGTTCCACTGAGGATGTTGTTACTTCACAGCCCCATGTGGCTATTCTGTGGCCCTGGTGTACTCTGGGAGTTTGGGTACACATTAGTCTCCCCCCAGGACTCCTGTTCTGTCCTGGGACCCACCCTGGCTTTGCACAGGTCAGACCTGATGGGACACCCCACTTCCCCGGAGTTCACCCTGGTTTTGTTAGTCACTGCTGTTGGGGAGGGTGTGTCTCCCAGGCGACCACTACCTGCTGGGCTGACCTCTACTCTTTTCCTATGTTACAGCTGGGAACACTGAGTCTCAGGGCGGGCAGCCACCCCTCCTCAGCTCCCTTCCCAGCTTAGACACCCATCCTGTGCATTTGGAGGGGAGATTTTAATTAGCCAGTTTGTAATTACCTAACTGCATCCTACTTAATAACACTCAGGGGATTTTTCAATTTTTCGCCTTATTTAAAAATTTCATTGCTGCCGACCAGCACAGGAGCCCCCTTCTGTCGGCAGAGACCCCGCCTGGAGCAGGGAGGGGCAGGGTGGAGATGGCTGGCAGGTAGGGGCACAGCAGCCTGCCCTGCAGACCTCCCCCAGCCCATCTGGTCTGAGTTGAATCCTGTCTCTAAAAAGACATAGTGAAGTCCCAGCTCCAGGCCTGGTGGGTTTGGGAATGAAGTCTTTGAAGATGCTGTCAGTTGACACAGGGGGATGCTGGAGTAGGGCGTTCCTGATCCCAGCTTGAGTGTCCCCAGAAGGAAGGGAGACCTGGAGACAGTGGGAGACAGGCTCATGAAGACCGGCGTGCTGCATCTACAGGACAAGGATTACCAGGACTTGCCTGCCGCCCTGACCAGGGGACAAGCAGGCCAGGGACTCTCCCTCAGAGCTGACATGGATGCCACCCTCATCATGATTCCCAGCCCCCAGAGGCAAGCAGCTTTGGTTAAGTCCCTGCTGCATCACCACCTGGTCCTGCTCCTTGTGGGAAAGGCAAGCTTCTTGCCATCCCTTCCCCAAATATCTGCTGTCCTCCTGAGGACATTCTGGGGGGGGGGTCTCCTCATATGTCCTCCCCCTCCTGGAATCTTAGGAGAGAACACACACAGTCATCCATCCATCCATCCATCCATCCATCCATCCATCCATCCATCCATCGTTTTATTTCTTTTCCTTTCTTAATATTGTGCAAAAGTTGGAGACTGGAAAGGATCAGCTCCTTTTGAGAGGTGTTCAGGGAGCAGGAGGGGTCAGGGGTGGACGAGGGCAAGGCCACAGGTCTTGTGGGAGGGCTGCTGTCTGGGGGTGCTCGCCCCACATGCTGGCTTTCCAAGGCCTGGCACCTGAGGAATGATGGGGGCTCCACGTGAGCTGTTCTTGCTTAGTGTAACACCTTGGTGGGTCCCCAGGGGGCAACATTGAGCTGGTGCTGAGTGACGAGTCCTCACTTGGTGTCTGAGCCTCTGATTAGGGTGGCAGTGTGTCTGTACTGGCCACTCACTAATTCTGGGCAGCCCTTCTGTCCACCACAGCCTGCGTGGCCCAATCATTGTCCCTACTGGGGCCTTGCTATGGAGACATCTGGATGCGGGGGGTCCCCATTCTCCTTTTCCCCAAACATAAGTCAGGCAATGAGCTTGAGGCCAGCAGCAAGCCTGGGCCAGGGCAACCTATGCCACTACCCTGAGCGGCTCCTTACTTGGTGATCAAAACTGGCTTCTCCCAGTTGGGCCCGGAGTGGCCTGAGCTGGGCTCTGGCTGTCAGGGGCACCTGGCAAGAGGATCTCTCTGTCTTGTGGGCTCCTGGGACCAGCCTTGGCAGGGGCAGGATGGTGGTGCAGGGAAGCACCTGCTGCCCTGGAGACCTTGGAGCTGGACACAGTGACCATGCTTCCAGTCCCACCCAGCTGTTTGTCCTAAGCCCCGCTCGGACGTGTCGCCCTGCGGGTTAATAAGCACTCTCCCCACTTCCAAAAGGCTAATTAAATATTAATCAGCTTGGTGAGGTCAGCAGAAAGTGCTTGGCAGCAGCCGAGAAAATGACTTTAATTAATTCTCCTGCAGAGGCTGCTGCAGGGGGGTCCTTGTCCCCCTCCCCCCCAGCTGTCCTCCAGGTCCACCAGGGCCCCAGACCTCTGTCCTTCTACCTGACACTCTTCCAGGCTTTTGTTCTCAACACCCAGAAGCTCGGGTGTGGAGCCCTTTCCCTGCACCCCCCCCCAACCTCCCAATGAGAGCCCTCCTCCGCCCTGCTCGGAAACCCCTGTTCTTGTCCAGAGTATGCCTTCCCTGAGTCTGTCTTGTGCTGTCCCTACATGGATGGCCAGGTGTGTGTGGTCAGCTGAGGGAGCTTTCACCTATCCCAGGACTGGGTTTGTGGATCCAAGAGCGGACAGCCATACTCAAGAGTTGGGCTGTTGGTGACACCAGTCTTTATGATGTCCTGGCAGAGCTGGGGGTGGGGGGTGCAGACTGGACTCTGCTTCTGTGTTCACCATCTGGTCACCATCAGAGAAGGCTCTGCCCACCCACCAACACAGCCTGTGGCCCTGCACAGGCAGTGGGGTCTCCAAGCGTCCACAGTGGGTATGGATTTGATATCCAGGCTGTAAGGACATTGAAGGGTCACTATCCAAAGCTGCAACCTATCTACCCAGGGCACAGCATGGGCTGGATGGAGAGACAGGGCTGATCTCAGCTGGGGAGTAATGGGGAGAGGGCACTGGTGCTGGGCTTGCTGAAGGAGGGGGCCATATGGAATTGACCCTAAATGTGACCAGTGGGTCTGACCTGGTGTGGGGAGGTGGGGATTGGGTGCTTCTGCCAGGAGAACACAGAGTAATCAGTGTTGCCCCCGCCCCCCCCATCTTGGGCCCACCTCACAGGCAGTACAGTGGGAACCCCATGTCAGGGTCTCTACTGCGGTTCCGTGTTAATTTTTTATTTATTTGAGAGCGGGGCTGGAAGCGATTCCGAAGTGAGTCTAAAGTAATTAGGAGCTCCTGCTGATGGATTGCACGGGAGGGACGTGGGGATTATTTATTACCGAGTCACTTGCCGGAAAGGTTAGAGGCTGAGAAGTAATTATTTTTCCTTCCTCTCTCCCCCCACTTCTCTGTTGAAAGGGGGATATTTTGCAGGAGAGCAGAGTGCAGGGCTGGGACCATGGCCCCATTGCTGCCCTGCTCAGGGCGTTGAGGACCAAGAGTGGGGTCTGGTCTGGGGAGATGCAGGGCCATACCTCACAGCTCTCCTTTCTATTGTTCCTTTCCTAGCATACAGCTTCCAGGAGGGAGGACACTAACCCTGTGTCCAGCCCTGTGCAGGCTTGTAAGGTGTCTCAAGTCCTCTGGTGGAGGAGGCAGGTGCAGATACCAGCGGCAAGAGCAGCTTTGGCAGCCAGTGTGGCAAGTGCAAAGGCCCTGGGGTGAACAGACTGGAGGACTCTGGATTTAGGGCTGGGCAGTGAAGGGGTAGGAGCAAGGTCAATGGAAGGATCAACCACACAAGCCACAATAAGGAGCCTGGCTTTTGCTCTGTGTTTTTTGACATTCCTTTGCAGATCTGGAGGGCTTTAACAACGTACCATTGAACCTGCTGGGCCTGCCCTAGTCCCACCTGCCCTCACCTCGCATCCCTCCCTGCTCTTCCCAGCAGCTGCATCTCTCATCTCCAGGTGGCTGTCTGGTGCAGTGGTGGCTGGAGTGGACCCAGCAGTGGGCACAAAACAACCAGCCCTGCTGGTGCAGATGGAAGAGATCCGCTGCCTCCTGAAACGGAACTGTCTGTGATGGGGTCTGACTTCAGGCACAGCTTGATCCAGGGCTCACACGCCATTCCCCCAGAACTCATGTCTAGTTTCTGCTTTTCCTGAAATGTGCTTCTACCTCAGTCTACAAAACCTGCCCGAGAATATCCATGTCCACCCAAGATAAGGTGACTCCGTGGAGTTGATTTTGGCTTGTCATAAGCCCAAGTAAAAGCAGAAGTGTCTCTCGTGTGTGGGGTGAATCCAACCCCAAGTCAGCAGTTGGGCACTTAACCACTGCACCACTAGGGCCCCTTTGCTAAACAAGACAGACACAAATAGGTAAAGTGCCCGCATAGACTCACCCTCTTTGGCACAGATTGACTTGGCTCCCAAATCGACATTGCTTGCTTCTCGATGTCTTGGCAGTTGTGTGATGATGTCATTGTCCCTCGTGATGTGATTGTGAGGGGGTGAAGGTGGGCTGAGCACTTCCAATCAGGTCACAGCTGTGGTTGGACGGGAGCGTTTCCGTGGTGTGTGGCCTGCATCCCCTTTACCTTACATGAGATGGAAGGAGAGAGACAAGCAGAGATTGGATCATCGTGGGCCAGCAGTAAGGATGAGCTGAGTGCAATGTGTCCTCTCGACTCAGAGTCCCTGCACTGCAAAAGTCCTAGGACCAGAGGAGACTGATGCCAAGGACCTGCCAAGTCAGCAGGGAGAAAGCTTGCTCAGCAGCCGGCACTTGGGATTCAGCTTCTAGCCTCCTATATGGTAAAAGAAGATGTTCTTGCTTAACATTGTCGTGTAGCATTGAATCAGAATCGACTCATAGCTGACCTTCCATCGGCTGACCCCGTCAGTCTGTAAGTAGCATGGGAGGAGGTGCTCATCCTTATCCCACAGAGCAGCTGGTGGGTTCACATCATGTACCTCAGTGCTGACAGGGCAGCTCCTTACGAGGCCACCAACGCTCCCTTATTAAAGTCATTGCTTGTAGTATTTTTTAATACAGCAGTATTTGATATCTAAGATACTCTCATACAGAACAACGTGTGTGTGTGTGTGTGTGTTGCAAAAACCTTTATTGTTTCATTTGGTCCAAGGCTTGGGCGAAGGGCTTCTGGGGGATAAGATTCTACATCAGGGTGGGATAGAGAAGCTTGCTGCCGATGGCAGGGGGATGCAGAGGTCCCCCCTGCAGGTCCCCACAGGCCCCAGTTGTGCTTGAGGGTGAGATGCTCAAAGAGATACTCGCCCAGCCCAGCCTGGGGTCCGCCCAGGCTTCTAATGTTGGCCAGATGGTCACCCATCTTCTTTAGCAGTTTCACTTCTTCGTCCAGGAGGTGGTTCTCCAGAAAGTCACAGAGATGGGGGTCAGTGTGGGCAGAACCCATGGTGTGCAGATCCAGAAGGGCCTGGTTTAGGTTCTTCTCCAAGGCCAGCTCAGCTTGCATGGCATCCAGGGTTTCACCCCACTCATCCTGGGATGGTTTCTGGATATCTTGGAAGAGGACTCGCCCGCTGCGCTGGTTCTGCAGCTTCAAGAGCCACTCAGCACCCTCACACTTCTCCTTCACCAACTCACGGAAGTGTCCCACGTCTTTCAAGCCCACGTCATCACGGTCAAAATAAAAACTCAGAGAGAGGTGGGTGTAAGAGGCCCGCAGGTGCAGGTTGACCAGACGGTTGACGCCAGCTTCTGCTTTGGTGGAATAATTTTGACAGATCTGAGAGCTCATAGTTGGTTGAGGTTTTGGGACTAACAACAACAACAACAAAAAAGTGTTAGCTGGTTCCGAAAATAGGAGGTGGTTGAGATGGTCCCGAGGTTACGCCTGGAGATGAAATTGGAGGGAGGTTGGAAGGGGGGAGTCACCGGGTCTGTTCCGTCCAAACACTGTTGAAGCAAGAGACAGATCCATGGGTCTGCTGGGGAACTCAGAACAACTTTTAAGAAAGACAAACTATGTGGACACTGGACAGTAAGGGACAGTCATTCTTGAGAAACAGAACAGGTGATGTGAGTCTTCCTCTTGCTCCAGCTCCTGTCTCAGGATTTTTCAAGACCATGAGTAGAAGAGGGAAGCCCAGAACAGCCTGGAATATTCTCTGAGCTCAGCACATGGGGAGGCCGAGGTTGCTCCAGTTCATGGAAGAGTCTGTCTACGGTCTCCTCTCCCGGTATCCAGCTGGGCATTGGCCACACAAGGAAAGTTACAAGACTGAGGAAGAGCTATCTGAAAGGATGATGCCAAGTGCTCACAGAGGTCCAGGAATGATGCCTTTTCTCACCAGCCAGATCAGAGCACATCCGTAAGGCCCTGGAAGGACATTTGGAAGGTCTTGCCTTAAAGCAATGATGAAAACAAGAGTAGAAATGGTGAAACCACTTCCAAGCAACTTAAACTACACTTCAGAATAAAGCTCAAGTGTATTTACTGGAAAACAAAAATATCCAGCACTTATCAACATAAGTCACAATGTTGAACACCCAATCAAAGATTCTCAGGCAACAAAGAATCAGAAAAACATAGCTTGCAATGGAATGTCTGGTTTTAACTTTTTACTGTGAACTGAGTGAAGGTTTGCAGATCAAATTGACTCTCAACAATTCATATCCATCTTATTTTCCACGATATTTATTTGAGTCCCCAAACTCAGCTGCGCTCTTCCCACTTCCTTGCTGTAGTTCCTGTTTCCATGTGTGCTTTCCTAGTCCTTCCTGCCTCCTGCGCTTTGTCCTTGGGGAGTTGCTGAAGGGCAGCAAAGGTCAAAGATGATCTTGTAGGTTTGGTTGTCCTAGGAGGCCATGCAGCTAACTCCCCTGTGCTGTTATTCCATTCATAGACCTGTCTGTTTCATGACTGAAAACGAAACCATTTGAGTGTCTTAAAGGGCTAAACGGGTGACTGAAGGGCCTGGGGAGTTATACCAGTGTATGTCAGACCAGTAAGCCTGGCCTGATAAGAACAGTGTTGGGTCAATCAAAACGGACCCAGAATTTATGTAAAGATTAGAGTTAGCAGATTTGAATAGCATCAGTTCTTACAATTGTATCCATAAGTTCAAAACTAATTAGAGACATGGAAGATCTAAAGAGACCCTAGTTGATCTTTTACATATGGAAAGTACAGTGTATCATATTGGATGAAAAATAGTTTGAGAGTTATAATAACAGATTAGATATGGCAGAAGAAAAGATTAGTGAACTTTCCAGAGTAATAAAAACTACCAGAACAAAACGTAGAAAGAACAAAGGATTTTTTTTTAAGTGAATAGAGTATCAGTGAGCTTTGGGACAAGTTCAGGTGGCTTCATAGGAGAGTCATTGGAGACACCGAGGGAAAGAAGTCAGCAATGGCTGAAAGGTTCCTAAATTAGATGAAAACTTGACTCACAGATAAAAGATCAGTGTGTCCCAAGGATGACAAACATGAGCAAAACTGCTCCAAAGCACATCATAATCGGATAGCTCAAAACTATGATAAAGAGAAAATCTTAAAGGCTGACAGGGGAAAATAAAGACACACACAAGACGAAAATTTTAAAAAAAAATCAGAAGACAGCAGATTTCTTGTTGAAAGTAATACAAGCAAGAAGGCGGTGGAACCACATCTTTAAAGTACGTGGGAGACAAAACCAGCAAGCCACAATTCTATACCTAGCTAAACTATCTTTCAAAATGAAAGACAAAATAGAGACATTTTAAGACAAACAAAAGCGGGAAGAATTCCTCATTTGCAGACCTTCGCTGCAGAAATGTTAAAGGAATTCCTCCAGCGGAAAGAAAGCCATGTCAGATGGAATTACTGAATCCCCCAGGAAAGGGCAGCACTGGAGGTGATAACCAGTGGACTAACCCATTTTCTTATAGAGTTCTTTCAATGATTAAGTGTTTAATGAAAAAACAGCAGTTTATTGGGGAGTTTATAATTTATGTATTAGTAAAATGCATCAGCACAACAGCATACATACTGAAAGGGGAGAATTATACAAAACTGTAAGATTTAAGGGGGCACAAATCAAAGGTTAACTGCAGCTGCAAGAGCATGAATCTGGAGAGGAGGCCGGAGGTGGAACATTGTGGGCTGAATTGTGTGTCCCCACCCCAAACATGTGCATGCAATCAGTAATACCATTTGGAAGTTTTACAATGATCCTCACGATCTGATAAACCAAACAGCTATAAAAGAAAAAAAAAAGTAAGATTTTTATACAAACAATGTCCAAGAGATTGGAGCAATGAAAACGCTCTTGATGTTGCTTTATAATTTTGCAAGCTGTCACCACTGAGGACTATATGAAGAGTCATTTCTTACAACTGCATGTGAACCATCATTTACATCTTCACTTAAAGAATTTTAACCAAATAAATAAATAAAAGTTCAAGCAAAAGCACACAATGAACAAAATGTCTAGAATGTAGCTAATGATAAGATGGAGAGGTCTGAGGGGAGGCGGGGGAGATGTGAAAACCCCACAAACTGACTTCAGGTCCTTCCTTGGTCCAGATCGCAGCATTGCCAAGCCTCATGTCCTGTGTCTTCAGCTCAGTCAGAGAAGCCTTCCTCATGCCCACTGTCTGCATCTCTGAAGCGAAGGTGAAGATGCCTGGTTCTGAAGACCATTGACTTCTACACAACGAGAAGGTATTTGTAAAAAAGAATGGAGCACTGGTATTTCTACTACACGAAAAGACAGTGTTTATGAACAAGCTGATCATAGCAGACCGCACACCGTATGATCCCACTCATATGGAGAGCCCAGAGTAGGTCAGTCGATAAAGACAGAAGGCAGGCCAGCGGGAGCCAGGAGCTGGGGATTGTGGTGGGAAGTGGGAGTGACTGCCTAATGGGACAGAGTGGTAGATGAACACATCTGTCTTGGAAAAAGTGAGGTCGGATACTCCTTAGAAGCAAGGATGTTGAGGACGTCACCTCACATGCTTTGGACATGATGTCAGGAGGATCCAGTCCCTGGAGAAGGCCATCTTCCTTAGTAAAGTAGGTGCTTTAAAGCAAAAAGGAGGAAGCCCTCCATGAGCTGGGCTGACCACGCAGTGGCTGCATGGTGGGCCCCAGTGCAGCAGGGGCAGTGAGGACGGCTCAGGGTGTCACTCCACAATGGGCTGGAACTAACTTGACGGGACCTAACCCAAACGACCAAGGTTTAGTGCTGTTAACCTGAGGAGGAGGCCTGGCTCCACTCCAGGCTGCTCTGGTCCTACGGGCCTTAGTCTCCTTGACTGTAAAAGGGGCACCTTCATGGTCTCACTTTGCACACTTGTCCAGAGAGTTACAGTGACAGCCATGAAGAGAAGCTGCTTTGTAAACTGCAAAGGGCTGTACAGGTGGGGTGCCACGGAGACAGACTGCCCCTGGGGATCAGGCCCACAGCCGGGCCCCTAGATCAAGTGCTTCCTGCCACTCCCTGCCTCCCGGAACCTCAGCCTCCAGGCCCTCTGAGGATGGGGAAGGCTGCCAGGAGTCTAGACGAAGAGCAGCCCCTTCCCGTGCCTGGCCCGTGTCCCTACCCCAACGTGCTGTCTGTCCTTCATTCTGTCAGTCTGTGTAGGGAGGGCTGCCCAGCCAGGGTTGGCGGGAGGCTGCAGGGCGCACAGCTGTTTGCAGGGCTTGTCATGAACCAAACACGCGAACTGTTTAACGATTGAACCGCACTAATGAATTTGGGCCAGATATTTTCGAGGCCTGTTCCGACTGATTACTTGGAGAGACGAGTACGTCTCCCAATTACCCAGGCAATTAGGCGACTAATTAAACACTTACCCTTCGCTTCATAAACAGGCGTGCACTGGTGGGAGCGGGAGCTGGCGCGGGTGCCGATGAAATATGAGCTGTCAGAGACTTCCACGCATGCACGTTCGGGGCCGCTCTGGGGCTGGCTGGTGGCTAGACTAGCAGAGGAACCGTCATTCCGATGGGATGGAAGTCCTGGTCCAGATCTCCTTGGATCAAAATCCCGCCTCCTCTGCCTCTGTCCACTGCCCGACTCCCAGACACCTGGAAGACATCATGCTTGGTTAAGCAGAGGGTCACGTGAAAGAGGAAGGCCGTCCGTGAGCGGGGCTGACAAACAGCAGCAGGGCTGGAGCAGAGCACAGTGTCTCTGTTGCTCATGGAGTTGACAGGAGTTAAAAGGAGCTCTGGTGGCTAACACATTTGGCGGCTAACCAATGGTGGATGATTCCAACCCAGCAGCGGCTCCTTGGTAGAAGGTGAGGATGTCTGTCTCTGTAAAGACTGACAGCCTAGCAAGCCTTGTGGGGGTGTCTACTCTGTGCTTCACGGTCACTATGAAGGGTTTGGGTTTTTAAAGCAGGGACCAACTTGATGGTATCTCACAAAACCAGGAGACTCCACTGACCGGCACTGGCCCAAGGGCCAGGGCCTCTGTAACCCTATAGTCTCAGCCTTTGGAAGTCTCTGCTCTCTGGGGACCCTGACTCTGTGAAGCAAGGCTGGTTTGATGTCCTGGATGAAGGGTGTTGCCACCTGGCCTCCATCCTCCTGCACTTCCTGCTAGATTGGGCATCTCTGGAAGTTGCATCTGAGGACGTTCTGGTGGAGGTGTCACAAAAGTTCCCACTTTCCTTGGTCTTCCTCTCACAGAACAAAGGTCTGCCATGCAAGGGCTTCACTAGGGGGTGTGCACCTCACAGGTGACGCTGTCAGAGCTGGTGCTACTAATACCTGAGCTCCAATGGCAATGTGGTCAGTTCCCT